CACACACACACACACACACACACACACACACACACACACACACACACACACACACACTTAACGACTAACAAAGTGGATTTTGCACGACATGTCCCCTTTAATCATCACATCAATTGTAACTGATACAAATGCAGTTTTTTAGCAGCTTGCACTACATGAACATCACTCGCCTTTGAAGGTGATGCAATACTATTTTTGCATGTTTGTGACTTTTTTTTTGTCTGTACCATGAGCTAAAACATCTCAATCACTAAACAGTTTCATAGATTATTGGTTAGCAGTACGTCTACTACTGGTTAACTTATGGGATTGACTTAACTCAACTTGGCTGCCACAGCAAAGTAATCACACAAAAATAGCTATAACTATTTGAAATGAAGAGCTAAAATATATCACAACAGATACTCCAAGTGCTAACTGATTCCATTATTATATTGCAAGAGTTGCAGTTTTGCACATATTTGTGCACAACGTTACTTTCAAAGTTTAATGAAACCGGGCGTAAGTCCTGTCACTTCTCAACACAAGGTTTAGACAAAAATCCTCAAAAACTATTATGGCACTGTAAATGTTTGTTCAAACAGTTTTAAAGTAATATATATTTTTTAAAAGTCTGAGAAATCTATGTGAAGAAGGTTGCTACAGTGGCAAAGTTTATCTCCTATAAGTGCCCAGAGAGGCGATAGAGGTTAAGAAAAAAAAAGTGGAAAAAAAGTTCTAAAAGCAAACCCATTAATCATTATTAAACTTAAAAAAAGGGCTTAAATCATGGAAATAATCAAACTTGTGTTCTAAAATCAAACTTGCATTGCTTCAGGCTTTTGCTGGAAAACTTTGTTGGTAACAACTAAAAATAAATAAATAAAAGCGTGTATTTAAAGTTGTAACAGAAAAACCTGCCAGCACATTTTGTCAGATATACATAATATTCCAACATGCATCTCTCTTTCTTGTGGCCACCTTCCTGTTCCCCCGACAAGTGTCTGTTTACCTGYGACTGCCTGGCATTTTCCTCCCTGTCAGCTGAATACGTTAAGTTCTTGACAKCTAAATGAATTCAGTCTGTTTAGAAAGGAGTGATGGATCTTTTATGTCCCAAACCTCTGTTCATTCTCGTGAATAAGGCACAGTGGGTCATGCGCGGAGATGCAAGGCTCTTCCACTTCAAAGAGCCGGGAGCCTTTGATGTCCCTGACACATTATTAGTGTTTCTGAAGGAGCTGCAGCAGAGTGAATCAACCGCCGAGTGCTGCTCGGGAGAGAGTTGCTCCAGCTCTGCTCCTCTTCTGCTCCGTAGGTCCGAGTGTAGCCTGCTGGCACGGTTAACTTCCCACTGTAAAACTCTGTGAATGGGTTTGCTCTCCACTGCATTATTCATTAAAGTTTATTTTAAATTAAAGCCAATGTCAAAGATTTCTGAATAAACCACTCAGATAAGCAGGTGACAAAAAATCACTACTGTACGAGGATAGGAAGAAACTTTGTTAAAGAAGAGAATCTGCAGCAGTGACCGCAATTTTGTGCACAACCTAAACCCAGCTGGGATTCTGTGGTTCTTCCCRTGCAGGTGAGCCCAGTGGCRGGGCCTCTGGAGGGGGGCACGCTCRTCACTATCCAGGGCCTGAACCTTGGCCTGTCTTTCTCCGAGCTGAAGGACAATGTGGAGGTGGCAGGAGTGYCGTGCACTCCACAGGAGGACGGTTACATCACTGCCGAGCAGTAAGAAACATCCTCGCCTTAACACAAACACACGGACTCACACTGGGCCTCATGCAAGAACCGTTCGTATGAACAGATTTGCTCTTAAGTTGTGCATACGAGTGATTTAGGAGAATTTGTGGCATTCAACAATTTTCTTGAATTCTTGAAGATTTTTTTCAGACACGAACAAAATTCACGAGTGGTCCAGACCTGTCGTATATTTTACGAGGAGTCCGTCTGCTGTTATCAGATGAATTTTCTTCACTAAAAACTTCATATTTCATTAGTTTGAAGATATTTTGAGTTGAAAATAAATCACACTC